TTACCTTTCTCTCCTATCCAAATTAGCTTCCTGTGGCACACTTAAAATCCTTCCTCTGCAGTTGTATTGGGAGAGAAAATACATTAAGATTATTTGCACACAAATGCTTCAGTGTAAGGGCATGAATCCATGAGCAGTGTTCTGCAGAACCTTTAGGCAGGCAATCTTGCTGAATCAGACCAGCTTTTCCTATGATAGTCACAGTAGACCTTGTTTACTTTTTCTGCTGTTTTGGTGAGGACGGAAGGTTTCTCCTCCCTTGAAATGCAAACCTTTTGTGCGTATTGAATGCCTTGGATGGGTACAATTTTTTCCATCATTGTAAGGGAAAGAAAATATATTGATGTAAGCACTTCTATACCAATGGCTTTAGTAACTGTTCCAAAAACAAGTTTCATTCACTTTAACAGATGGCTTTGCCTCACTTCTGTGGTCACAAGTCCATTGATTATTCCTTGTTTCCCATCCTAACTGGTATTTCAAAATATGAAGTATGTATGAGAAACCTAATGCATATTTGCTGTATTAAAAACTGTATGTATTAGTAGCCCTGAGTGCTATAGAAGTCCTTCACGTTTGAGATTAGTTTAGTTTGTGGTTAATTTTTTGCAGACTGTCAGGCGTCACTGTGTGTAACCTCAGTTTAACTTATCTAAATGATTGTAGAAGATCAATGTTTGGTTTCTGAAATAAAATACATGGATTTATTTACATTTATGGAATAATTAGCTGCTTACCAAACTATTTTTGTTTTAACTAGAATAGATGTCTCCTGCCATGGTGGTTATTTAATTCTTTCAAGTGGTGTTCATCTCGGATATAATGAATTGTGACTTAAAATAAGAGAAAAGCTTGGTAAAAGTGGCATTCACCCATCTGAAACTATGATGCAAGTACTATAGCAGTTCAGATAGCATTGTGTTTCTGCAAGTGGTTTTGAGCCTAGTTCTTGAGTATAAGTATGGGAGGTAGAGGGTAAGAGGTGGGACTGCAGATTAAGACAGATTATTTACAGGACTGATGTTTGTTAGTGTCCTGGTTTCAGCTGGGATAGAGTTAATTGTCTTCCTAGTAGCTGGTACATTGCTATGTTTTTGAGTTAGGTATGAGAAGAATGTTGATAACACACTGATGTTTTCAGTTGTTGCTAAGTCATCGTTTAGTCTAAAGTCAAGGATTTTTCAGCTTTTGATGCCCAGCCAGCAAGAAAGCTGGAGGGACACAAGAAGTTGGGAGGGGACACAGCCAGGACAGCTGACCTAAACTGGCCAAAGGGGTATTCCATACCATGGGACGTCATGTCCTGTATATAAACTGTGGGGGGGAGTGGGGGCAGGGGGATCGTGGCTCGGGGACTAATGAGGCGTCGATCGGTGGGTGGTGAGCAACTGCATTGTGCATCACTTGCATATTCCAATCCTTTTATTATTACTATTGTCATTTTATTAGTGTTATCATTATCATGATTAGTTTCCTCTTTTCTGTCCTGTTAAACTGTCTTTATCTCAACCCATGAGTTTTACTTCTTTTCCTGATTTTTCTCCCCCATTCCCCTTGGGGGGGGGGAGTGAGCAGCTGCTGTGGTGCTTAGTTGCTGGCTGGGGTTAAACCACGACAGTTAGCTTTTTTCTGTGTCTTCCTTTCTTCATCCATTCTGGTTTTTTAACTTGTAACACAACCTGTCAGTATGCGTTGCTGCTAACAGCATTTTCCTGTCTTGTCAAGCCTGTGTTTTAAAGCTTTTATATGCTTCTTGTAACAAGCCCATTTAAATTGAGTTTTGACTGGCTGCCTGGTGCATGGCACCAGCAAATTGCCTGTATAGGAGAGTCTCTATAATGAGTGAATCAGCCATCCAGTGCCATGGGAGATTCCCCATATAAAAGAACAAAGAATTGTGTGGTGCATTTGCTTTCTCTCATACCTGATTGTCAGATACTTTCCTTTTCAGTGTTCACTATGCAGTGAAGGCAACAAGTAGCATATTGTTAGGCGTTTCATCATGTACGTTGTGGCTACTTCCAATAATTTGGGGACTGCCAATAAACAGTAAACTTTTGCATTAATGCTTTCCCATGGGAGAGTGAGGAGCACTTCAGAAGCAGCCAAGTTGTGTACATCACCTGACATACAGCCCATATTGAAGATACTTCTTTGCTGTAAGAAGTGCTTCAGCTTCTGAAAAGTTGCTTGCTATCAAAACCTGAAGATATGACTAAAAGCTTCCAAATACTAGGACCAATGTCTGCCAAAGGAAAGCCTTAGTAATAAAACGAAGGAATTTCTATAGGCATGTCATTGTAAGGAAGGTTGCTGAGAACCACAAGAAGGGTGTAATCTAAAGAAAGTAAGATCAAGGAAGTGTGAACAATGCAGTGGTGGTTGTCTTCACTGGACTTGTGCGGGAAAGGCAGTTCATGAACTTTTCTTTCAGAGCATGTCATAAATTCTAGCAGGTAATTCCATAGCATTCTAATGGTAGAATGCTACTATGCTGTCCTGGTTTCAGCTGGGATAGAGTTAACTGTCTTTCTAGTAGCTGGTACAGTGCTATGTTTTGAGTTCAGTATGGGAAGAATGTTGATAACACTGATGTTTTCAGTTGTTGCTAAGTAGTGTTTAGACTAAAGTCAAGGATTTTTCAGCTTCTCATGCCCAGCCAGCGAGAAAGCTGGGGGGACACAAGAAGTTTGGAGGGGACACAGCCAGGGCACCTGACCCAAACTGGCCAACGGTGTATTCCATACCATGGGACGTCCAATCTAGTTTAGGAACTGGGGAGTGGGGGCAGGGAATCGCCACTCAGGGACTAACTGGGTGTCAGTCGGTGGGTGGTGAGCAATTGCACTGCGCATCATTTGTACATTCCAATCCTTTTATTACTACTGTTGTCATTTTATTAGTGTTATCATTATCACTATTAGTTTCTTCTTTTCTGTTCTGTTAAACCATTCTTATCTCAACCCGTGAGTTTTACTTCTTTTCCCGATTTTCTCCCCCATCCCACTGGATGGGGGGGAGTGAGTGAGCGGCTGTGTGGTGCTTAGTTGCTGGCTGGGGTTAAACCATGACATATGCTAGTAGATGCAAGTAAAAATTCAGCTGAAAAATCAGAGCAAAGAGGGAAAATAACTGCTAATTGAAAGATACAGTAAAGAGCAATTGAAAGATACAGTAAAGGGCAACTACTGGTTTTAATCTCATGGGAGACATCATGACTTGTTCAAACAGTCTAATCATGAGTTAGCAGGTCATCCCAAAGCGGGGATCTTCAATATATGGGGATCAACAGAGTGCGTGAAAATAATTTCTGAAGTTTTTCAGAACTGGAGTATTTTCACTGCAAGTCTTTCTATTCCACTCTGTGGGTTTTGTGCAAAAGAAAACTTGTTAAGCCTGAACCTTTTGTAGTGTCACTGAACAACTTTTTTTCTGATAATCTGACAGAAGGTTGATGCAAGAGGTAAGTGACATTGTAAAGTGTTCTAACTCTTCCAAACATACTTATGTATTTCTGTTCATGTCGAGGTGAAATAATAGTCAAGTGCATGCCTTCCGCACTTATAATCTGTGAATGTCTGAAATTTAGTGTTAAATTTAATTTGAAGTTGTCACAAGTGTATTGTGTCAACCAGACACATTGCCATAAGGCAATATAAAAAATATGGGTGTTCATAAATACAAGCTAGTTATATCAAATAAGTTTTTAATGTAGTATCTGTTTTGTACAAAGTTACCATATAATCATTCTCACCCATAAAAGAAAAATTTACCAATTGTTTACTTCTACTAAATGTTCAGCATGTGTTTGCAGTTTGCTGGACTTACTGGAAACACCTTTGTGGGCACTTATTTTAGTAGAATGTGACTGTGAGTGGTCACATAACACATTCATCAGTAACCTAAAGAATAAATTTCAGCTGTCTTTTGGCTCATGTCATGCTTCTGCACAAAATATTTTGCACAACATACATGGAATAACTATTGTTTACTTTCTGATTCAGTGTAGTCTTGTGCAATGAAATGCATGGTGTAAATTCTGTGTACTCATGGCTTCTCATCCTGACTAAATCAGTGAAATTAAATATTGCGAAGTACCTTGTTCTCAGGTTATTCAGTTCTGAGATGTTGGGTTTGAGAAACGAGGGATTTGAATTCCTTCCTTGCATTTCTTTCCCAAATTGCATCCTTCCAGTGGATTTCCCTGTGCTGCAGATCCTCAATACTTTCTAGAATTTCTTCTTGAAAGAGAAAGTGCATGAGTCATTGTATGTGAGGAGGGAAGGAACTAAAATGAAGATTTTTTTTTTTTTTTAAAGACATATCAAAGACTGAAGCAGGGTGTTGCAGAGGAAGGAGAAAGGAATGAATGCAAGATTACATTAGGAAAGAAGAAGATGCTACAATGTAAAGAATTTGAGGGAATATTGGATTGAAAGCCAGAAGAAGACTTATTTAAAAAGTGCTGTCAGATACTGTATAGAACTTTCCAGTGTTCAGACTAGAAAAAGTTTGATTTGTGAGAAGGTAGATGAAATCCAATGCCAGTATTAGTTTTGATTGATTAAAATTTCCTGAAATTATCTCTGCGATAAAAAGATGTAATGCAGGCCGCCTAGCTGAGAGGTTTTTTGTTCACTTTTGACTTAACCATTTTCCTTACCACCTTAGGGTCTATGACCCATGAATTTATTGAATATATCAAAAACTCAAGAGTTTTGACATGTTTTGACTGTTTGTGCAAGCTCTAAGTTTTAAAATGTGTTGAATCCCTTAACCTCTACTTTCTTGTTCGTTGATCATTTGTAGCATGTTTTCAGTAAGATACATTCAGATTTTCAGGTTTCTGAGCTGAAGGTGGAAGAGAGCATCCTCTGGTTTACTACACAAAATTAGCACTTTGATGCAATATTTGCTCTTACCCTTTCTCAATTTGTTCGTGTAGGTTAACTCTTTCAAGCTAATTATTAACTCATAAACTTTACTGTCCTGTTTTGCAGGCTTTGCTGTAGCCCAGTGTATAAATCAGCACAATCCATCACCACTCTCATCACCATCACCTTCCAGTGGCAGTGGGAGTACAGGACGCTGTGATTCAGTGACTGCAAGCTCAACATCCACTCCTGCTGTACAGAGCCCATCAGGTATTAAATCACAATTTTCAGCCTAGGCGCTAAGGGATGTAGAGCAGTTTATTGTAAAATTAAGTTACTATGTTATTGGATTAAAAACAGTAGGGCTTTGTGTTTTTAGGTAACTTGATCATTCAACTAAACCAGTTAAATAGTGGTGCAGATTTTAATGATCTCTTCAGCTTTCTGGAACTCTAATAAATACTTGGCATTTTTCAGCAGTGATTTTAAGTACTGGTGAAATAATGTCCTGCTTGTCTCCTAGTACATACAATTTAAAATGATGGGGCTTTAGGGTTGTTTTTTTTTTAAACTGAAATACTGCTTTGCATAAATTTGTAATGTAAACTGTTAGCCTTTCACCATGGTGGATAAGTTGATCTCCACATGTAGCATCTTTTTTGAACTCGGTGACATTTGCTTTTGTAAGTTTATCTGATACTCATGTTAATTTGTAACAATGGGTCAAATATGAAATATTTGAAAATAGTTGTTTAGAATGCTAATATTGTAAAGCTTTTCCAATAACACTCTTCTGGCTAAACACCACCACATTTGAGGAGGCTGTTTCATAGGTGCAGAAGAAGCTGCCATATAAAAGACTGACAGTATAACTTTCATAAATGTAGTTACCATGTGTTTGTGTTGGTCAGTATATTTAGTGGGTATGTTTATACTGGTACTTCTTGTTGCATTAGAATGCCTTCATTCCTTCTTTTTTTGTGTGGTATTTGTAGAGAATCTTGTAATGGTATTTGTTCTGAGTGGAAAATATGTATGAGGTAGAGCCTCAAGCTGGAGGCTAAACGAGAAGTAAATCCTGAAGGGTGCTTTCATGCTAGAACTGACCTACTCTACCTCATTTTGGTTATGCAACAATAGAGGTAACTTGATTCTCAAGACATTTTCAAACAGCCCCCTCATCTTAACAGTCACTTCCAATGTTGATCACTCCTTGAAATGATTGTTCTGGTTCCCCCTTCTAAGACATACCACTTTGCCTTTATGTGGAAGCCTCATGTAGATCTAAACTTTTTTGCAGTCCTCCAGGAAATGATCCAATCTTTGTTAGGCTTTTAACATTTTGTAGGTTTTACTGAACAGTGTCAGGAGATCAATACACATTATGTCCAAAGTGACTATTCCTGTAAGAAATATTGCTGGAAAGGGTAAGCAAAGGCTGCTATGAAGTTTATGAACAGTATGTAAAGCATTCTAGCACCCAGACTCTAGATTAAAAAGTATTTATTACTGTGAGAGACTAACATAGTCAAAATATTCCTGCAATATATGTAATTCCAGAATAAAATTTGGAATATTTTTCTATATGCAACCTGTTCAAAACTTTGGAAGGGCCTCATTTTATTTTCTCTGTTGGTAAGTGATTGCTGTTATCCAGTCTCTTGATGACCTAGATAATATGTGGTGATTACGCAGAGAAGTGGTATCATTTGCCAAAACTATCAGTATGGATTGGCACTACAAGAAAACATTTGTTTGAGTACATGTTTCTCCTTAGTAGCGTAAAAAGGCTCATCTACAATGTCCTTTGCTGTGTTTGAATCCTCTGTGATCAGGAAGTGAAATGCAAGTACAAGTTCTTGGCAGGAGTGGCTAAGAGAAAACTGCAGTAAAGGAAAATAAAAAATCTGAATTATTTTTGTTGCTGTAAGCAGCATGCTAGTTCACAGAAATACCAAGCAAGACTATACTACATGTTTAAAACTGAGGTCTTTCCAGCGCATGTAATCTGACTTCAATGAAAAACTTAGTAGATCCAGAGCACATAACTGCTTATTTAGCATAAAAAGATAGTGCCGTATTGAAGAATAATCATGGACTGTAGTTAACAAAATTAAAATCTACTTACACGGCATTTGTATAACATAAAATTCTGTTTGTTTTTCCTGCAATTTAAAAAGCCTCATGACAGGAGGCTGCTCGTTGGTTTCAAAAAAGAAAAAGAAGAAATAAAAACAACCAAAAACCCCCGAAACTCCTCCCTGCATCCCGTCCCCCCGTCCCCCCTCCCCCAAAAAAAACCACCCACGCAACCAACCACTAAAACAAAAAAAACCAAACCCAACAAATTGAAAAACAGAGGAAAGGTTTTTTGAAACGCCTGGTTTTAGTCTGCACTTTACCAATTAGGTTGCATGAACTGTCCACACTTAGTATGACCTTCATTGTGGCTTAATCATAAAGTATGTTCAAAATGCCACTTGTCATGCAGGAAAAGTCTTTGGGTGGGTGTTGGGTTTTTGCACAGATCTAGGCACACTGATGTAGATGCTTTAGCAAATCTAGCTGTGAGGATACAATTCTGTGCCCTACGACTGTGAGCATGGCAACCTTCAGCAAAGTCAGTGGAAATGAATGTGAGAATCTGTGTCAGCTACTTCAGTCCCAAGTCAGCAGCTTGCATTAACCTGCTTCAGGGATGACTTTTGAGTTCAAGTCCTGGATTTTGTTCTGCTAACTTTACTCAGAGAGCAGTAACAAAGAGGAAGACAGTGACTTTATGTGCATGAGCAGGTAATTCAGTGCAATAGGACAATCAACAGTTGGTACTGAGGTGCATTTTGCTGTGGACCGTATTTACTCTGACCTTTAGGACCAAGCATCCCTGCCATGTATGTGATTGTCTGAAGGACCAGTTATTAGTTCAGATGTATGTTGCTATTAATATTTGAAGTGTGTTTGGTGCATAGTTGCAGCATATCTTATAGCTTGGTTTCCTTGTGAAAGAATCTCATTAATGCACCAAAACTGTTCCTAAAATCAGACTAAAGCAGTAAGTGTACATAATTCTTCAAAGCTGCTCTATTGGTGTGAACCAAACTGCTACTGTAGTTGCAGCCAATAATGAACAAGTAATGTTTTAAATAGTTACAGCTGAGTTGCTGACGGTGTCTATAGGTGCTTAGTATAGACTAGAGAGGATTCTGAAATCCCTGGTGCTGGGTCTTTGGGGAGTGGGGTTGTGGGGAGGGTTTTTTCCAACCCAGGGAGCTTTGACACTTTTTTGCTGATCTTCAGTGTTGGATCGATACTGTTGTCTATTCCTGGGAACAAGTTTCTGCATTAACTGATTTGACCATTTACTGCAAGTTTGTAATGAATGTTCTCATGAATGTTCTCCCTTTTATAGTATTTATATGTAACTGTGATCTATACTGGAGACTGTTGCCAGGAGCATGATGATGAAAGAGATTTTCTGTTTGGTATGTCTAGATAGCTGTTCTGTAGGCTTCTGCACGAACAGAAGTAGACTGCTGAAATAAGTGATAGTGTCTTGACCACTGTCTGTGTTATATCAGGTCTCACTGACCACTCGGCTAAGTTACAGAGATAATTGTTGGTATTCACCAACTTCAATGTAAAACAATGTCATTTTCCCCTAACCTCTTGAGGACAATTGAAACTAAACTGCCTTACTCTGCTGTGAAGCAGAAGAGGAGGCTTGCATGATGTGAAGTGGCTCCTTCAAGGAGGAAGTAACAAGTAGCTGATGAACAGCAAGCAGTTACCAAGATCCGTTTTATGCCCTAAGGTAGCACTTGAATGCTGCCACCATCTGTCACATTTGAATCTCCCTTCTCATTTCCCATTCAATTTTAAACACACTCACATGAGCACACATACATGCTCTTTGTCCCTCCCTCCTTCCTTGCTCCCCTCTTTGTTCTGGCAACTGCTCAGGTTGTTGCCCCTGAAGAACATGCTAGGTTGCTCAGGAACTTCAGTCAAGAAGTCCAGACAAGATAAAGGGGAGCTGTGTACGCGGACTTCAACTACCTCAACTACTTTTCTTAAGAGCAACATCTTAAACCACAACAGTTGTTTCTACTGTAAAGTTGTGATTATAGTGTCCTAAGCTACTGTCTGTTGACAAGGTCAAACTGTTCAGAGTTTGATATATTTGAGATGGTACTTGTAATCTTCACAGAGTTGTTTTAGGAAAGAAGATTTGGAACATACGCACTGACTTTTTTCATAAAACAGTGATAGATGAGAACAAAATAAAGACAAATTACGTAACTGTTAGTTGAGAGAAAACAGTGTTCACAATATAGAGTATATATTAACCATTAAACAGTAAAAGAGCTTCCAAAAATGTATCACAGGAAAAAAATCCATTTAATTTGGTGTTTTGTAAAAATACTTTACTTGTTATCACTCCTACCTGCATCAAACAATCACACAGTATCTTAATGTGAGGAGGGAGGTTAACTGAATTTACATGAAATCATGACTGCTGTGCATGTTTCAGTCATTGTAAGAGAAAAATCATGCCATTAACTGCTTTGTCATGAGTAAAATAAACTCTTACTATTCCTGAGTTTATCAGCTATCCTGCCTAATAATTGTCACAATACTTCCTGGCACAGACACTTTAAAGCCTAGCAGCTCCCCCATTTGCAGTATTTGGGAATTAAGCTTAGTCCTTTACAAGATGTCCATTCCTTAAATTTGAAAAAGCAGAAGTCGTCCCTTAAAGAAAGCCAAATCCCTAGCAAGACAGGAAAAGCAGTATCAGGTTCTGCAAATGCTGCTATCAGGTTGGGTTTTTTATTTGTATTTACATGATTATTTTTTTTTTAATGTCCGTTTGAAGTGTTGCTATGCATAAGATAAAAATGTTCTCTTGCTAGGCAGATTTTAATCATCAAGCTTCCGAACTTAGAATACAATCTCTTCTTGGCTACACTTGCTGGAACCATGCACTTCTTTAAAGTGCTTATTTTTATATATGCCAAAGATTAAGATAAAGAAGTTCTCTTACTGTAAGTTAGCAGTCTTCCAGAATTATGTATGTGTAATGTCATCTGTGCTGTATTTTATCACTTTTTAAGTTGTCTTAAGCTTTAAAATGCAATTGACTTCAATACTTAAGAAAGTGTTTACGTTGGAGCAATGGATATCGAGAACTTCAGAAGGCATTGATCTTCTCTGCCACTTGCTGTATTTCACATTTCTGGCAGATATTGATGGTAAAAGGTCTAAAATAA